AGAGTGAAGACCAATCAGTAAAATAACATCACCATTGATGGTCTGCCATACTATTTGATGATTGTAGCAATGGTCAAAAAAAGTCCTGGCAGACTATGGGCACTGCTTTGTCCCAAAGACAAGTGCATGAAATCCATGTATAACTTATAACAATCTGTGTGGATTTATATATTAATGAGGTTATGAATTATTACTGAATGAATAAATGCCACATCACTATGATCAGCATGTATAAAATATTTAATATAAATTACTTCTGGGTTAATATGGTGTACGGATTAATAGACAGGCTATAGTGAATCACATTACATGAGATCTGTGCAAATTAGAACTGATTAAATAAGCTTGTCACCTAATCAAGGGAACATACTTAACCATAAATATCAGTGACCACATTTACATGCACTTAATTTTAATATTCCAGTTTATATGCTCAGTAGACTTTGGAATACTTACATATGCGTTCATGTTCCTCTACAGGAAGTACTGAAGACATCCTCTCTGGTTATTAATTGCATTGCATTTTAGTAATTTAGAATAGTAATTGAAATCAACTCATTGAATTCTTCTTATTAATGTCACTGCAACAGCAGCAGTATTATTTTTTAATTATTTAGATATTATTATTTGTATTAACATTTTGAATTAGTTTTATATATATATACAGTATATATATATATAAATTCTTGTATACTGTATTTTGTCCATGTGGTTTTTATTCACTTTTATTTCAGTTATTTTAGAACATCAAATTAAACTAAATGAAAATGAGAAATGTTGCCTTGTCTACTAGCTAAAATAAAATAATATTTATGTTTTTTGTTTTAGTTTTAGTTAACTATAATAACAGCACAAATGAGTTCAATTAAGTAACTGACATAACAAAATTCTGATTAATGTAGCAATAATCATGTGCATGTAAATTTCACTGAAACATCTGGCAGAAATAGACCTAATTGATCATACATAATAGCAGATGTTTCATACACAAGAATGTCTTTTCAACCCTTCTTTAGGTCAATTAATTGTACTTTGTCCTAAGCAAAATGAAAATTGAACTATTCGCTTTGTGAATACACGCAAACATCACAAGCTGGATGCCCTCAATGCATGCCTTTCTTCAACCTAGCAAAACAACCTAGTGGTCACAGTTTAAATTACTTTCCATCAGCCAAGCCACCCTGCAAAATATACGCAGAAGCCTTGACCCTCATTCATGTATACCTTAGAAGTAATCTATGGCTACTTTAATGCACAGAGACAGAGTTGAACTGCAGAGCAGATTAGTTCAATTAAGTAACTGACATAACAAAATTCTGATTAATGTAGCAATAATCATGTGCATGTAAATTTCACTGTAACATCTGGCAGAAATAGACCTAATTGATCATACATAATAGCAGATGTTTCATACACAAGAATGTCTTTTCAACCCTTCTTTAGGTCAATTAATTGTACTTTGTCCTAAGCAAAATGAAAATTGAACTATTCGCTTTGTGAATGCACGCAAACATCACAAGCTGGATGCCCTCAATGCATGCCTTTCTTCAACCTAGCAAAACAACCTAGTGGTCACAGTTTAAATTACTTTCCATCAGCCAAGCCACCCTGCAAAATATACGCAGAAGCCTTGACCCTCATTCATGTATACCTTAGAAGTAATCTATGGCTACTTTAATGCACAGAGACAGAGTTGAACTGCAGAGCAGATTGGATTAGTATTCAGGTATTGTGTGTTGCAAGTCTCAGCACCAATATGCATCAAATGAGGCTGCAATAACAACGCATGCAGGCCAGAGAATGTGGCAAGATAAGAACAGGAAATAGGGTGGAAAAAAAGCTAAACATGTGCAAACACACACAAGCACACAGACTTTGTGTTTTGACTGGTAAAGCCCAGCGTGGATGACAAGTCTGCTTTGTGGAGATAGGAAAAGGTATTTGAGACACACGGACACAAACACACAAACAGCCATTAACCACACTATTGTAAACACCTTCTTATCTCCTCTAGACACGTCATGGTCTGTCTAGAACTACATAAGTTGAAGATAGTTGGGGTTCTTTTATGCAGGAATTTTTACCTTATAAATAAAGAGATAAAAAAGTAGGTGTAAATTAAATAACTTAATATGTTTAATCTTGCAAACTGAACTGCAGAGCAGATTGGATTAGTATTCAGGTATTGTGTGTTGCAAGTCTCAGCACCAATATGCATCAAATGAGGCTGCAATAACAACGCATGCAGGCCAGAGAATGTGGCAAGGTAAGAACAGGAAATAGGGTGGAAAAAAAAGCTAAACATGTGCAAACACACACAAGCACACAGACTTTGTGTTTTGACTGGTAAAGCCCAGCGTGGATGACAAGTCTGCTTTGTGGAGATAGGAAAAGGTATTTGAGACACACGGACACAAACACACAAACAGCCATTAACCACACTATTGTAAACACCTTCTTATCTCCTCTAGACACGTCATGGTCTGTCTAGAACTACATAAGTTGAAGATAGTTGGGGTTCTTTTATGCAGGAATTTTTACCTTATAAATAAAGAGATAAAAAAGTAGGTGTAAATTAAATAACTTAATATGTTTAATCTTGCAAAACCTGTAAAATCTTACTTGTCTATGCATAAAGTTAATAAAGAAATTTACTGAAGGATATATTGTAGCTGCATTTGGTTGCTGTGGGCAGTCGAAGCAAAAAAGAAGACGACATAATTGTGCATACAGTGAATCTCAGGCAGACGTTTTCTTACGTAGTTTGCATTAAATTGAACAAAAGTGACAGTAAAGAAATTTTTTCTACTCTCTACTTTTCTGCGTTCTTAGAAAAAGGTGTATTTTATACATTTATACAGTTTTCACATAAATATTAAGCAGCAAAACAGTTATCATAATCGATAATAAAAAGATATGCTAATTGAGCACCAAATCAGCACATTAGATTTCTGAAAGATCATGTGACACTGAGGCCTGGAGCAATGGCTGCTGAAAATCCAGCTTTGCCATCACAGAAATAAATTCCATTTTATAATAAAATAGATATATTAAAATAGAAATCAGTTATTTAAAATTGTAATACTATTTCAGAATATTACGGTTTTTACTGTGTTTCTGTTCAAATAAATGTAGCCTAAGTGAGCATATGACCATTTAAAACATTTATTTATTTATTTATTATCAAAAAAGAAAGTGCATGAGTCTATCTCTTCACTGAAAAGACAAAAGTTTGTTGTCGATGTATGCAATTGTTTGTGTCTGCATTTGTGTGTGCTTGTTTCTTAGCATGAGTCAGCTGATGTTACTGTGAGGCTTGCATCAGCAAAACTAGAACCCAAAAGCTGACAAAATATCAGAGAAAAAAGGAAGGAAAAAAGTACAAAAACAGAAACAACTACAGAGAATGACAAGGCCAGACGCAGGGCCAGGAGAGCAGCAGCCATTGGCGCTGCCGTTCCTCATTGCTGTCTGCAGTAATGTAGTCAATGGTGCAGTGAGACTGGCCCCAGGAGCAAGCAGCAGACGGCCCTCCTCCACCAGCTGCTATTAATTAAACCCCACCAATCCTGCTGCAATACACTCGCAAAACAAACCTACCAACAGTACATTCGTCAGTACTTTCGTAAAGTCAAACTCCAAATATCTAAAAGAGGTTTTTACCTCTTAAAATTGATAGATTCACTTTTGTCCCATTCCCAGAAAAAGATGAGATCTATTTCAAGCTCTCAGAATATTAGAGCCATATTAGAGCTAGCATTTATTTTTCACATCCCACTATGACCAATTGAGGTCTTGTTAGCAGAACCTTTACTGCAGACACAGAATCCAATGTTGGCTTGATGCCACATGAGCCAATAATCACCCACTGATCTCATGCACGCAAGTGAAAACAGTAGCTGTATACTGCATTACTGAAACGTTTTTACAAAATAAATATACTATGGCTTTCTAAGCTAAATTAGTTACTATTACCATTATGGTCAACTGAATCAACATATGTATTCTATAAAATTTTGCAATATTCTTTTGTGTTGCATAGAAGATTTATAGGTTTGGAACAACATGAGCATAAGTAAATGATAGAATTTACATTTTTGGATGAACTATCCCTTTAAATTTGAAAGAGCAAAAGGTTTGTCTGATAAGGAGAGTTGCTCAGGTAGTTGGGTTAGCAAAGGGTCAATTAGTCTAGAAATTGGAGGAATTAACTGTCTATCCTGGAGTAGCATGAAGCAAAAGTAAGTTTTCTTTTGAGGGAACACTTAATTCAAAAGGCTATTTAATTTAAATGAACAGCTAAAGATAACATCCTAATGCATAAAACGCTATGGGCATTTAACAACTTCTTAAAACTTTGTTGAAAGTTTTGCTTGAATGAGAAGCAGCCCTTGTCTAAAGGATGATTATATCCAACAGCAGGAGAGAGATTTCAAATTCACCAGCAGCTATTTCTGCTCTGATAGAAGGAGCACTGAGACAAATGGTAAAACAGACGGAGAAATGAAGAGGAGATATAATCTGGCATGCACAATTAAAGGAACGCTTCACCAAAAACTGAGAGTTCTGTCATCATGTACTTACAATCATAATGTTTGAAACCTGTATGGTGCCATTTTTTTCCATCAAGCACAAAATTGACATTTCTTTGTAGAAATGTATGTAGCTATTTTTAATACAACCGTAGTTCATGGTGACCATAACCTTCAAGCCCAAAAAGGACCAAAACTCTTCATAGAAGTATCACAGAAGTAGTCCATACTACTTGTCTGCTATATTCTGAAGCCATACAATGTATTTATGTGAGAGACAGATTGAAATTTAAGTCATTTTTTACTGATAACTTCTGTAGTGTTTTTTGGCAAGAGCTGCTAAAAGTTTTATCAGGCATTTCTACTTTTGTGTTTTCTAAGGGGAAAAAACAAGGAAAATAAAAAGTGAATTACAGAATTTTTTGGGTGAACTAGTTTTCACACTTGCACATATCAATAAAGCCTCACCTTGGCCCGCGAATCTTTGATGAGAACCTTTCAGCCAGTTTCTCCAGACTGCGAGAATACTCCAGTTGAATCTCGGCTTTGCGCCGAAAAAACTCCTGCAGGTCCTGCAACAGCTGGATCCGAGCCTCTGATTGCTGCTCCAGGCACTTGAACTGCTCCACCAACTGATTACGGATCTCTGAGCAACAGAGTAGACATAAACACATTAGTTTGACTCAGCACAATTCTGGACAAATGCATATACAAAGCTAGTTAGATTCAGATGTACTTTCTCTTCACAAATAGGCTGAATCCATTATTTAATCCATACAGCTACTGACTAAAGAATGCCCATGATTATTCCAGTCATTTGTGACTACTGGTTACAAATTTTGGGAGCGCTTTTGTATTCCTTACACACATGGAACTATCATTTAAGTTGCTTGCAAAACTTTTTTAGTGTGTGTACGTGGCCAGAATATATTCCATCATCCCAGAGTATACAGGTGCATCTCAATAAATTAGAATGTCGTGGAAAAGTTCATTTATTTCAGTAATTCAACTCAAATTGCCAATGTAGATACGAAGGAAAACAATCTACCAGGAAATCTGTGTGCAAACTGGTAAAGGCAAATGGAGAAATATATAGTTGGCACATCAAGTCAGACTTTGTCCTTTAATAAAAAAATGGATGAGGCTGAAATCCACACTTGTTTTGTCATGATCTAAGCTTTAGACTACAGCTGTACAGCTGTTCCTTACCAAAGAAGAATGTGTGAGGATGGTAAGAATTTTGAAGTAGTCACCCAACAACAAAGCTGTCATATATAAAACATTCTTTATATATAGTCGATGTATTTACATATTCATAGTCAACTGTAGAATGATAGATGATAGATACAACTATAAAACGACAGAGCTAGATAGATAGATAGATAGATAGATAGATAGATAGATAGATAGATAGATAGATAGATAGATAGATAGATAGATAGATAGATAGATCTATAGATGTTATTCAGAGAAACTAATATTTAAGAACAAAGCCTGTTTTCACAAGAAAATCATTGACTTGCATTTAATTGTAAAGAAAGTCTCAAACAGAGTGTGTTCTTGAACTGACAAGCTGTTCCCTCAGTTCTGAGAGAAAGAAAATCAAGAATTATACTAACACAACAGCAAAGAACAAGTAGGTTGTAAGTCGCATCCCTCGGGCAGCCAGTTTTTACAGTGCTAAAGTGGAGCTTCTTTCATGTGTCATTTCAAAGAGGCCTCTATTGCTTCAAAGACTTCCTTTGAGGGAATATTTCATTATTTGAATTCCCGGTGCTAAGGTTAACAGAACAATTAGACAACAAAACTGTAGCTTGATGAAGCAAATCAAGCCTGACACAGAGAAAGCTTGAAATCAAACACAATGTTAAGGTAGACACCTTTACTGGAAATAAATAAATCCACTGCAATATTGACTGACTTGAGTAAAGCTGCTCAGGTTGAAAACTGTGATCTGCTGCTAACACGAAGCAACACATCAGCGCTAACCCGGTCAAGTTGTCAAGTGTGTCAAATAACTGCATTCTGCAGGATTTTTCACACATACAACAACACTTCTGAGCTACAAGAGAAGAATTAACCATTACGTTTAACAGCAAAGACTGTCATGGTGTTGAAATGGGAGGGCGTTCTGTTTTCCTGTGATATTGTGCTGCGATGGTGAGCCACAGTGGAGCAACACAATCTTCGGTTAACCACCGAACCTGGATCTTCCTTTAGAAGTGAGACTACCGCCTGCTGGCACTATTTGTGGTAAAACCCATTTAGGCCCTATTTAGAGGTAGCTTACATACTGAAGAAAAAAACTCTAGCATGTTGATACCATTCTCACAGGCTCCCTGAAAACTTCTGCTTTTCCTGTTTTTCATTTTTTCTCACTGCTTTTTCACAGTTTTTCACAGCGTGCATTCGTGTGACAAAACAAGAGAGCCTAGAAGAACGCCCCAGAAACATCTGACACCATTTCGCATGAATGGCAGGCAGGACTTTTTTGAAAATACTCTCGTAAAAGGAGCGGGTTTAAAAACCTGCAGCAGTGCAAGAGCTGAAAAATAGGTCATGTTGTAAGCGAGCTTCTCGCGGAGACCCTGAGCAATCACAGAATTATTCCAAAGAAAGAGGATTCCAAGTGCGCTGTGGCTTCACTTGATGTCTGGAACTCATAGCTGCTCTCGGAGGAGGAATGCTGTGAATTTTGGCCTGATGTCCCTTCTGCCCCTGTAAACTGGTTACTTTAGAAGCACGGAATTACTTAACAGAAGGATTTCTCCGGAATACCCTCATCTGATGAGACCGAACTCTGTCGCAAGTCTGCTTGTGGATAGACTCAGCAAATAACTAAACGATTGTGTCACACGATGGTTGACGCAACCCTGAATTACACTTTAAAATCAAACACACGGGTTAAGACCATCTGATTTCAATGAAAATAAATAGCCTGTCTCTCATATTAGCAAGCTGTGATGACTAAGCCATCTGAATAAATAGAGATGATGGATCCCTATTACAGAGCATATGAAAAGTAGGGTCAAGAGCCAAAAATACACAAAAGATCATCTAATTATACAGGCAACTAGCTTAACCTTTAATTTAAAGGTTTTCTAGCAGATACTATCTATCTAGACACTATCAATTATCTTATACTATAATTATCAATTATCTTATATACTGTGCGTCATTTGCTTCCCCTCCCCCAAACCATTGCCATCTGAGCCTTGAGTCCGTTTGTCTATATGGAAGAACTTGAAATAAGAGTGTTATAGAGATTCCTGAAATGTTCTTTGTAATTAAATCTCACAAGACGTGCCCTCAGTAGGTTTTGGTCTAGAACTGTGGTTCTCATATTGTGGTCTACGGAAACCCTGGTGGTCTGTACAAATATGTCATGTTAACCAAGGCTGCATTCATTTAATCAAAAATACAGTAAAACGGTAAAATTATGAAATACAGTTTAAAATAACTGTTTCCTATTTTAATACATTTTAAAATGTTATTTATTTCTGTGGTGGCAAAGCTGATTTTCTGACAGTAATTTTCTTTACTGTCACTTTTGATCAGTTTAATGCATCCTTGCTGAATAAGAAAAAATATTTGAGCAGAAACTTTTGAACAGTAGTGTTGGAAAAAAGTACAAACACATGGCTGAGTAATCAACTCAATTAATTAACTGACTGCGTAACATAATTTGTGGTAAAGTTTTTTAATTGGCTCATTTCAAAAATGTAACTCTGTACATTAGTATTTAGTCTCAATTGGAGAACAGTCGCATTCTCATTTCAATGAAATAAGAACAAAACAGCAGTCTGGGAAAATTAGGGATAATTTGTACACCACTTAAAACTGCAGGTAATTTGCTCTGAAGTAGTTTGTATTTTCTCCCAGATTTGAGGAGTTATGTGATCCAGAATCTTTCAGAAAGCTCCCTGGATTTCTGCAGAATTTGAACACCCCCTGTTCACAGTTCATTCAGTCTGTTCGTTTATTAAATATCATGGCTAATTTGATCATGCTTTCAGCTGCCATCAAGACTGCAGTTTCCTGAGCTCTGTTTAACACATTTTACCACGCTCAAATCCATTCAGCAGTTTTTCTCCAAAAATCTGCACAGAAAATGTTAAAAAGGACTGCAGGATCCATCTGGGAAGAATAAAACTGTTAGTCCCTCAGTCGTCTGAATAGCACAACAAGATTTTTAAAGTTTCTGAAGAAAATGTGAGTAGTGTTTTCTCATGCATATGCAAGAGTCCCACATTTGATGGTTTAGTACATTGCAATGCACTTTCTAGGTTGTTCTAGCAACCATCCAGAAGAACCTATGAGCCACTTAAAATAGTCAAAGATTCCACCCACAATAATATCATATCCTGCTCCCTAGATCAATAATGTTTTTACCATTTTAATGTCTTGCTTAGAAAGGCAGCAGCACAAATCTTAAAACAGTTCAAGTGAGGCAAAGTTTTGTTGTGCTTATGAGAACCTTTTTCAAAATACAGCATCATCTGACAAAACCGTCACAGTCGAAACAAGCTAAATTCTTCCACGCACCATTTGCACAAGAGTTCATTGAATTCACTTCTTTACAATGGTGAATTGGAGACTCAGGCCCTTTTCAAGCAAAATAAATCAATACCAAATGGTTCCACCAAGTAATAAGCACTTAAGAGTTTTACTGCAACACAATACCAGTGACGTGGACTTTATATGACACTGAAAGCTCGCCGTTCTCTGGTCTTTGCATGTATAATGCACTTATATTCCCAGACAAGCCCGTCTTTGAGTCTCTGCCATCTTCTAACCTTCGCTGCCTCCAAATCATTCTACTAGTGGATTTGTGTATTATTAGATTAGATTAAAGAGTTTCTATCTTTTTTATCGTGGGTGCTAGTCATCCATAGATCTCTCAGTCTCTCGCTCATTACACTCATTAATAATCCTCTTCAGATACACAGTGACTCAGACGCTGTTGTGTCAGTGAGACACTCTCTGTTCTGGAAAAGGGCAAACACTAACCTTGGACAAAGAGAGGAGTGAAATGTAGTCACAGGAAATATTTCAGAAGATAGAAAAGGGTGTAGTTTACCGATTGTCTGTTTGTCACTGTCTTCTAAAAAGCATGTGAAAACATGATTCATTGATATACTTATAGAATGAGCTTTATTGCCAGGTATGTTTACACATACATATAAAGCATTAAAGGTACAGTTCACCCAAAAATTAAAAATGTTTCATAATTTACTTGCCCTCATGTTTTTCCAAACCTTTATTAGTTTCTTTCTTCTGCTGAACACAAAAGAAGATATTTTGAAGAATGCTGTCAACCAAACAGTGGCTGGTTGCCACTGACTTCCATAGTACTTTGTTCTCTATACTATGATAGTCAATAGCAACCAGCCACTGTTTGGTTTTCAGCATTCTTCAAAATATCTCCTTTCTCTTCTTTTGTCTCCACAGCTTTCAAAGTATACTTCTTTTTCCGCTGACATCACTTAGACAATCCAGGCTATTGGATAGATAATGCTAACTAACATACATTTAGGAAGTGTTCTCCATCCAATTAATTCCCAGTAGATAAAATCAAGCCCCATCCCATTTTTTCTCACTGAATATCCTGTTTCACTAGGAAACATGTCACATTATTCAAATGAA